GAACGTTGGAGATACTGTTCGACGCGTCTGCCCCCACGATCCAAAAGGACAAACGCTCATTGAAACTAAGTAACTCCTTAACTCAGCTAGAAGATTTTCCAAAAAGACCTCACGTCCAGATGCAGTATGACCGCCACTGAAAAGCGAGTCCCTGAGAGCTAAAACTGCAAGCTAACAATGATCCAGATAGTAACACAGGACAATCATCAATCATGTAAAACGATACAGTAGAGCCACTGGGTCACTGACACTACAGCAGGTATCATTCAGAAAGACAACGCCCAACGCCGAATACCAGTTTCTAAGAAAACTTTTAAAACGGGCATTATATCACATCCCATTAACCTGATCATCATCAACCTATGTTCATTCAACTTTATACCAGTGGTCATCAACGTGTTTTTACTAGGAAAACTGGCCAGCAGCGTGACTAACCGACTCTCAGGCTTATGGTAAAATTTAATCTACATGAAGCTGCATACAAAAAGCCTACAGCGCCATAAGAAATAGGGCATTTTTGAAATTTAAAAATGATAAATGTCATCAGTCAGATCTGAACAGCAATTACAGTGTTTTTCTCTGAGGCATGAAAAGGAAGGCATGGCTCATTTTCTGACACCGTCCACAGCGTCATAAGGGTTTTCCGTTTGTCTCTTGTATGGTCTTCCTGAACTATTCCTTTAGTGGGAAGACAGCTCGATTGTGAAAATGATTCAATTTGCTTTTTTAGAAACTACTGCTAACGCATGGCTGCATATCCTTCCGCTCGTGCAATTTACGGACTGCTACTTGACTCAAAAAAAGATGCATCACACGCTGATTAATCCTACCAAACAAATCAACAATTCAGGAAAGCGAGAAAGGATTGCGTCGTTCAGCAAATCTACATTTGCCACATTCGTCTTCAAGTAAACAATATTTTAGTCGTCAACCATTCATCGATTGGGCAGCAGTGATTAGCCTCCAATATTTCTGTCTGTGATGAAACATGAATTCTGACATGCTCAGCCATGACTCTGAACGATCCTTCATGACCGCAAATCAAGACCTGCTTGAAAATGACAGGACATTGACTCACTACCTGTCTGATTCCTGAAGACACGAAGAATCAAAAAAAACGCAAAACGCACAACCATTACACTAGCAGAAGCTTGCAGAAACAGTTTCATCATCGTACTGCCAGCATCACAACAGCACGATAAGAAGTTCGACGTCGGGGCTTGAAAATAACCGCAAAAAACCACATCATCAAATGCTTTAATTCTGGTACGTTTATTAATGCGTCTTCCGTTTAATTAAGGAGCAAACCGGCTACCGACTGGTGGCAATTACGAACGAGCAGCTGTCGGCTGGCTGGTGCACGAAGAAATCCGCTCTCAGGGAATGTGGCAGCAGAGTGAAGCGAGTTTAGATTTACGACGTCCGCAAAGATAACGGAAGGCGTCGTTACGTGATTCTGAAGTGGTGTCAAGCACCACCACAATGACATCCGTTCCAAAACCACTTCTTCGGCTGAGACAGTAGGACAACGTGTGCAGCATTTCCAAAACAGAACGCTTGCGTGAGCGCCGACTGTGGAAAAACGTTCAACGACCTTCGATCACACTCAACCACATGGAGACAAAGCAAAGAGATAAGCCTAACTCACTTATAACCAGCAAATGACGCAATCAGCCAAATACTAGCATGACAAAATGCAAATGATGAATATGTAATGGGTAATATGTGAATAGATAATGGATATGTAATAGATAATTATGTTAACATATTCCGGCAAAGTGATCCACATTTGAGAAAGCTAACTATACACGTTACAAGAGATCACAAATCCTTATTAAAAATTACATATTACAACAATAACAAGTTTTCAATATTGTTGCATCTCGTCTTCACTTAGAGACAATGGAATATTAAATAATTCAAGGGCAAGACTACTACTGTGTCGCACATGCCTCGTCTTGAACACCAAAACCGGAATGGATCATTACTGTAATATTTTTGCCTATCGGTTACTTTGGACGTCGATCAAGTTAAGTTTTTAAGTGGGTCCAGCAGAATACGACCTGTGTGATGACATACGTTTTGCAATGACCACGGAACACAGGTATATCAGCAAAACAATATGCTGCCCTACTGTTCGCAAGTAAA